TACACCAGGCTGAACCTAAATGAAACATGTCAGGAGGTTCCTGTGATAATGACTTTACCCTGGTTTGCTCTGGTCTCTCCTGACCTCGTGCCCCCTGCCCTCCGCCCACCCTCGTTAGACAGGAAGTGTCTGTCTCTAATTGAAAATGATCTGTTGTTCTTCCAGTTAACAAATGTACTTTTTTTAAGGAAACAAAGCAAACACATAAAGAAAAAAGTAAAACTCACAGAATGCCACCGCCCCAAAGTGACTTGATATTTTGTTAACCATCCTCTTACATCACCTTTTCTCTCTTCTCCTCGTGCCTCCAGACCCCCTCCTCCCACCAACACCAACACAGAAACACAGTTTTATCCACATGGCTGCACACGACACCTGTTAGACTATGTTTTCATATTGCAGACCCATCCAGGGCCAGTGCTCTGGTAGGTTCCATGGAGCCCCTGCTTGCTGCCATGTGTCAACTCACCGGCACCTCACTGTTTGCGGTTTGATTATAGACAGAGTCTATGAAGCCGCAGGGGTTATTTCCCACCTCCACCGGGGAGGGTTATGGCTGCAGGGCCACATCCCCAATTGCTAATCAGGTCTCCCCCGATGACAGGACACCGTTGTCATGGTCACGCAGACAAAGCCCTGAGCACTGACCCCACCACGGGCAGTCAGCACAAGAGCCGCCAGCCGTGATCACAAATGCGTTTTACATCCTTAGGCAGCCCCCAAATCGGGAAGTTCAGCTTTCCGACCCGCTGCTACTCCTGCGACGTCGGTCAGCGGGAGGAGCAGACTTTCTGCTCCAGTCCAGGGACAGCCCCGCTGCCCCGCTGCGTGCGGCTGCGAACACGCCTCCCCCAGGGCTCCCCAGCCTTCCCGCCCTGTGGACCCGAGTCACGTCCTGTCCTCAGGAGGACAGACATGGGACACCCAACCAGCGGCACTTTCTCCCCGCTGCCCCACTCACAGGAACGGCTAAGCCGACCGGGCGCCGTCCCCCCACCCTCTTCCTCGCGTGATTCTCGTTTCTTTTTGACCCTGACCGCAGCTCAGTGAGGGTGCCCAGTGTGACCTCCGCGGAAGGAGCAGTGAGGACGCCGAAGCCCCCAGCGGGGACGGGAACTGCCCAGTCACACAGCTCGAGTCTGGCTCCACAAGCTCCCCACCCCCCTTAATCCGGATCCTTAAAGAGATTTGGTGGAGGATGGAAAGAGGGAAAGGGTGGTAAAGGGAAGCAGAGGGGCGCTTGACCCCGCAGGGAGATGGAGCGGGAAAACCGCGTTCCAGCAGCTGTGAGTTCGCGAACCTCCAGAAATCGGGGGCAAAGCTGTGTGTGTGGGTGCATTTGTCACAATCTCCGAGGCATCTGTGATTCAGGAGAATGGCTGCTGGGCCAGATGAACCTCCAAGGTCCCTTCCAGCTCCCAAGCCTTTGCTTCTGTGACCATATAAGGCCACTGCGCCTGGGGAGTCTCAGTGCAGCTGAGTGCAGTCTGTACTGGGGGCGGGGTGGTGGGGGCGGGGGGGCAGGAAGCACGGAGCACTGGGAGCCCAAGCCCAGGCCTCCTGCTGAGTCCCCCAGGCAACGAGGAGAGGAGAGGAGCTGAGGGTCGTGGGGCCAGGGGTCCCTCCTTGGTTATCTCTTTCCAGAAAGCTGAGACCTGCTCAGGTGGGCTTGGTGCTCCCCTCCCTCTCGCTCCCCATCTTCCCTCATTGCATTGCCGGGTTCCCAGAGTCCAGCTGGTGGCTCCTGTCCAAAGTCCAGCGCTCAGGTCCGCAGAGCCAGCCTTTGTTTGCTCCCACGTTTCTTCTGGCTCGGTGGCTTGGAACACCTCTCAGAGTCCCCGAGTTTGGGGTAGGCATCAATGCAACATCGAGCTTGGCCTCTTTTTTGCTACCCTGGCTCTGCAGGCATGAGCAATCTGGAGGATTCCCGCCCCGCGGAGACAGGCGGTCTTGTGCATCTGTGCACTCCTGGCTCATGTAGTTATTCCCCACTTTCTCTGAGCACGGTCCAGAGCCAGCCCTGTGCCAGGTGGTATGGAGTGGGGAACTGAGATGTGGTATCTGACCTCCAGGGGCTGACAGGCCGGTGGTAAAGACAGAAAATTAACAAACAAGTCTACTAAGAGGTGATCTCTGATTATTGTTGTCATCTGCCATCAAGGTACAAAACATGTTTTAGTTATGACTCTATTGGTTGTAAGTGACAGAAACCCAAGTCAAATTAGCTTATGTAAAAATAGGAAGGAATTACTTGGTTCATATCCTCAAAAGTGTAAGGGCATTGTTAGCTTCAGGCATGGCTGGATCCAGTGGCTCAGATGATGTCTCCGGGACTTGATTTTGCATTCTGTCATTCACCATGTGGATGAAGATTAGTTTATCTGGGGCTACAGCAGCGTGAGCTGCCACTGACTGTAGCTAAGGGGTCCCCTGCAGCCTCATCTTGCTCTCTCAATCCTGGCCTTGTCTCCTCCAGGACTCACACCTTGGCTGTCACAAGAGACCAGACTCCCCTGGGCTGCCTCCCCAACCTCCAACCAGACACCTCCTTCCCCTGCCCCGCACTCCTCGGGCTGATGTTGTAGGAGGTGTTCTGATGCTCTCTTTGTGTCTGAAATCTCTGGACTCTCTGGGAACCTGGGTATAGGGACCCAGGGCAGGAGAAGCAGCTCTGCCTCTCAGCATCTGCCTGGTGGTCATAAGCAGGGCCTCGAATGCCAACGTGACACTTAACCAAGTGTGTGGCCTCGGGTAGGTAGCTTAAGCTCTCTGAGCCTCAGTTTCCTCATCTGTAAAAGGGAAGTAATAGTTTTTATCTCCTAGAATTGTTTTGAATATTAAATGAGACAGTAAAGCACTTAGCACAGAGAGTAAACCCACCCTGGCTGGTTGGAACTCAAACATCTCCCAGCCTTGAGTAAGCTTTGGGCAGTGCTCAGCTTATCAGTTCCGGATACTTGGTCCTTGCCAAGCCTGTGAAGTCTCGCCCTTATTCAGCCAAAGACTCAATGGGACCCCTATTCAGACACACCCCCTCTGGAGTTTTCCCTCTCTGGTACTCCGCCCCTTCAGTCCCGGACACCTCAGCCTTCCTGAACTCCGACTCCTCTCATCGGCTCAGGACGACCACGGCGCTCTGCTCGGACTACCCCTCTCTGCACTGGGGACTGGTAAACGCCACCAGGCAGAAGCACCAGAGCAACCACAGGACTCACCGTGACCATCCCCCTTCTCTCGGAGGTCACAGTCCTACGCTGCCCAATCTCCAGTGTCTGAAAATGCTAGTTTCATGCATTTTGCCCATTTTTCTAGTTGTTCACAGTGGCAGCTAACAAGTCCCTTTGGGATCTCTTTGGGGTACTGCACCAGTGATCCAGGCTGGGTTATACCCGCTCAAGAAACTTGTACGAAAATGGATAGAGGGCAAATAAAAGTCAATGGAAAGTCAAAAGGGTCATTCTGATCTATTTCTCAGAGAAACTCAGGATAAAGACCCACAACCCAGCACCAAGTCAAATTTTGAAACAGGAATCATTAAGGTCCATCGACTGGTGAATGGATAAATAAAATGTGATATATCCAATAAAAATAAATGAAGTACTGATACATGATATACCATGGCTGAATCTTGAAAACATTATGCTAAGTGAAAGAAACTAGTTACAAAAGACCACATCTTGCATGATTCCATTTATATGAGATGTCCAGAATAGGCGAATTTATAAAAATGAAATGCGGATTAGCAGTTGCTTATTGCTAGGGTCAGGGAGGAGGAGTGACTGCTAATGGGTCCATGGTTTTTTTGGCAGGACAAAAACGTTCTAAAACTAGATTGTGGGGATCATTGCCCAACCTTTTGAAGATACTAAAAACCATTGAATCACACGCTGTAAATGGGTGGATTGGATGGTATGTGACTTATATCTCAATTAAGCTGCTTAAGAAAAAGAGGATCGTTAGCAATTTTCTCCTGTAATTAAGGAATGGAACGGGGCTGCGGTGAGGTGGGGGAAGAAGCCCCCCTCTTAGACTGGGGCACACACACGTCACGCATGGTGTTCCATCTCGGGCTGAAAAACGTGACCACAGAGGAGTTCACACGGTTTATTGGGGGATGACAAATGTTGGATGTTAGTCTTAAAATCCATTCGCTCTTTCTTAATTACTTCAACTATAAAAGGATTCTTGCAAACTTTTGGTTTTTTGCCCCCTCTTTCTAGTTCCTATCCGGAACCTAGTCAGCAGTGAGCATTCATTTGGGTGGCCACCACCTACAGGGAGAAGGGTCATTAGGGCGTGTCTAGTGTTAACCTGAGAACAGGAGGGTAGGGAGCACGTGGCCTCTGAGAACTGTGATGTCACCTTTGAGGCCTTCCATGTCACTGTTCAGAGCCACCAGAATAAAGGTGACATAGTGGTCAAATCCCAGCCAAGGATGGAAGTGTCGGCAAACTCCTTGTGTTGACTTTTCTGTCTTCAAAGACGAAGAAGGTTCATTTTGAATGAGTCCCCTTACCCTCATTAAAAGCACCATGAGTTTTCTGTGAAATAAAAATGTATTATTCCTTCCCAGGCTTCTTGTAGGGATCTTCAGCAATACACTCCAGAGTGGATATTTAAGTTACAACCCTGAGCTTCACTTAAAAATACTAACAGCTGACATGTATCGAGCGCTTCGTGCATGTTTCTCCTGTTCTAAGTGCTTTCAGGTGTTATCTACAACGCCTTGTTCACGGACGGTTCTTTCACATGCATATGGGGAATGTAAAAAGACTGCATTTCGTTTTCCACTATTCTGTTTTTTAGATTACTTTTCAGTAAATCGGGTAGATTTTCCCTTCAGGTTTTATGGTATTAATGCAGCAGCTCAGTAATTCAGCATGCAGTTTGGACCTAGCCCTCAGCCAGCTAAGCCAGGGGATTGGCCCAGGAACTTCGCACGCCTGGTGCTTGGTGCCCAGTGCGCTCATCAGATGTGTGTGTGTGTGGTTTTTCTCTAGGATTATCCATGAAGATGGCTTCTCTGGAGAAGACGTGAAACAGTACAAGCCTGTCGTCTACAGCAACACCATCCAGTCCCTGGCAGCCATCGTCCGGGCCATGGACACTTTGGGCATCGAGTATGGTGACAAGGAGAGAAAGGTAGGCCGCTGAGCCCAGGGGCACAGCAAGGAGAGGGCCTGACTCCATTGCCCCACTGTGTCCTTTTTATAATGCCAGGCTGCCTTATAGGAACAGGAAGAGACGATGCCGTACACAAGAGAGAAAGCTAGTCACCGAGCTAAGCCAGTATGCCAGTCCCCCTGGCACACGCACACAGGGGCTTCGCTGGTGAGCAGACCTCCCAGCAAAGTCGCCAAGGAAGACAACAGCCACAGAATTCCAGGGCTTATTCTGCAGATGAGAAAGGGTTGGTGACAGTTCTGAATTGGGACTCCCATGACATTGGACAAGTACTTGCCCTTGGGCAAGTAACTTGAACAGAAAAAATATTTCTTGAACATAACAGCCCTGCGTGGCCGCCATCCCCCTCCTTAGGGGAGCTTCCTGTGCCTCGTTGGGACGGGGCGGGGTGGGGGCGCAGCCCTGTGAACTGATCCTTTACTTCTTTACACCAAAGAATGTGTTTTCTGCTTCGCTAGGTGAGTCTGGGGACCTGAGGGGCTCCCCTTCCTGTAGGAGGTGGACATCCTAGGACAGGGACTGTTTTTCACTTGAGTTTCCAGGCAGCCGATAAGTGGTGGTTGGCATAAGTATATAAAAGCCTCTTATTTGCAAATATTTGCATTAACTGTAAGACTGAACTTTATACAGCTACACTGGCAAAGCTAAATTAAAGGGAGTGGGGGGGAACAGCCTCTGAGAATTCTATCCGGAAGTGGTTCTTTGTCCCCTGGTGGGATTCTGAATCCCAGCAGTCCTCTCTCTGCGACCTGGAGCATGGAGAAGGGAGGCAGGTGGAGGCCTCTGGGACCTTGGGCCCCACATGGGAACCTCTGGATGGAAAACATTGATCTCTGATTACTGTGTGACTCAGTCACCTTTGCTCCGTCACAGAGGAAAACTATCCTCACCTTCTCTCAATCTGACAGATCGCTCTAAATGTGAAATTTAGTTTTATGCACAAAATTCGAATTCCGTAGGACAGAGTCATCCCAGTTCAGGCATTGGCTGCTCCAGGTACAGGAATTGGGTGACAGAGTGTGCCCAAGGCCAGCCTGGGGTGGGGAAGCCGGACGCTGGCAGGAGGGCCCAGGCCCGTCCTCTGATCCTCCAGGAGGATGAGACCCAAAGCTGATTCTGCAAAGGAGGTACTTTTCCCCTGGGAGACAGGCTTTAATTGGGTTACAGAGCCAGGGCCTGTGGGAAGAGGGTACCACAGTTCTTCTGCCCTGTTTCCATCAAGCATCCACTGAGGCTCACAGTGAACCAGGCTCTGTGCTGGCTGCTGGGGATACAGGAATGAGCACAGTGGGAGCAGTGCCTGGAGAAGGCAGTCAGCAAATGCCTACTCAGATCATCGGGGTAGCCAAGGAGGTGACAGGGCTTCCGTCATTTTAGTAATAATGGCCACAGTGGTAACACAAATGCTGTCATTTACTGAGCACCTACTAGCTGCCAGACACTGTGCTAAGCATTTTACATGTATTAACCCATTTTAATTAACTCAGGCCTGAAAACCCAGAGCAGGAAATGCCTGATCTGATCTTCAGACACAAGACAGGCCACAGGCCTTTGGTCTCTCTGTCTCCTTTTTAGCCAAAGAGAGAGCATGGCACCTGAATCTCAGTTAACCAGGTGACAGACACAGTGCAAAAGAAGCATGTGTCCCAGTACACTGCCTACACACACACACGCACACACACGCACACACGGCCTGCGAGATCTTCCAAGAGTGCGCGTTCATGGCCATGCCCACCTTGCAACCAACACTTCCTTCCCGCCTACACACACACATGCACACACACGCACACACACGCGCGCGCACACACACACAGGGCCTGTGAGATCTTCCAAGAGTGCGCGTTGATGGCCATGCCCACCTTGCAACCAACACTTCCTTCCCAAAATCCCCTGTCCTGATTATAACCCAGAAAAGTCAGTGTGGTTTTGGAATGCTTTTCTCCTACAGTTTTGGAAAACATTAATTGCTCCCGTGGGATTTTGTTTCCATTTTATTATCCTGAATAGGGTGAATACTGCTTGGGAATCGCTAGGAACATGATCTGTTATGGATGATAGTGCTGTTTTCCCGGGGGCTCTGGGATTTCCCCATCAGGGTGGCGCTCAAGCAGGAGGTTGGGGAGGGCTCCATGGAAAGGGAGACCGAGAGCAGAGTGGGGACACCCCGGACAGTCTGCTGGACACAGCAGAGTCAGAGCCCAGCTCTGGATGGCAGGTAGCACTGTGGCAGGCCCTCGAGACGTCCCCAGGACAGCGCTGGCTCGTCAAGGACGATCCTCCTGGCTGATAAAAGCCTCTGGGCACTTGGGCACCTCCTTCTGTGTTATGTCACCTGTGAAGAGCAGGAAAGGAAAGTCAATCCAAGACTCAGGCCAGAAGGAGCCGGGTAGCTGGAGAAGGTGCCTTCTGGGAGCCGGCTGGCATGAGTTTACGGTCTGGGGAGCTGGGTGCAGGGACCCCCTATATCAGCCTACGGGTCAGCTACTTCAGACTGGGTAGCCAGGGCAGTTCCCTTGATCTCAGAAGGGACATTCGTGATGAAACTTGACCATGAAAAGGAGCCAGCCAAAGGAGGCTGAGGGGGCAGATGCTCTAAGCAAATTCCAAGGCCCTGAGCCAGGAGGGAGCCTGGTGTGTCGGAGGAGAGAGAGCCTCCATGCAGCCTGCAGTGCCTGCTGGGGGAGGGGCAGGACCCTCAGGGAGTGGTCACCCTTTCCTCAGAGCAGTGACCTTTGCCCTTTCAGGCACTCAAAACCCATGTGAGCCACTAAGGAAAGCCGTGAGCCTTCTCCCCAGAGCAGTGAACACGTGCCCACATCTAGGAAATGTCGCACATAATCTCGGGGCCTTTGGAACTCACGAAGCCCACCATGGAGCCTAGAATAACGACTCCTTCATGATTTAAGGTCCTTCTCTGCTCAAGACCTGTGTCATTCACCTTTGGGTCACCTCCTCACCCCCAACATTCAGTGCAGTACCCGGCACATAGGAGGTCTTCGGGAAAAAAAAAAAAAACCCTTGAGTGGAATAGCTCTTCTAACTTTCCCAATTCTCAGAGAAAAAAAAAGGGAAAGTACCTGTAACCTCATCACCCAAGGAATAGATGTTGACTGGGTACCTACTATGTGTAGGCTTTGTGCAAAGTGCTGTGTCAAGATTCAAAGGCGAGATGGGACCTTCAAGGAACTGGTCACCTCAGGAAGATAGGGCTGCTCGTGGCTGAATGAACTTGGCCACTCCACAAGGCAGTCAGGGAAAGCCTCTTAGAGGAAGTGAGGCTGGATCTGCCCTCGAAGCAGAGGAATGGCTTGCGGGTGAGGAAGGGGACTGGAACAGGGAAGGACGTGAGTAAAAGCGGTGGATCGTTAGCGGCCAGAGGAGATTCGATTGGCGGAGGAGGCCAGTGGCCAGAACAGAAGCTTGGAGTATGGGCGAGGTGTGGGGAAGTTAGGGGATACGGTAGATGGTTAGGCCCAGGATGGGTGGGCCTTGGAGAGTATGCCAAGGAGTTTGGCTTTTACCCTGTCGGCGGTAGGCAGCCATTGATAAAGTCTGAGCTGGGGAGGGCTGGGATGAAACACGCCCTAAGAAGTTGCTGTGATGGCATCCGCGGGATGGATGGTGCGGGGAGAGGAAGTTGCCGTGATGACATGCGCGGGATGGATGGTGGGGGGAGAGACCGAAGGAGGGAGGCAGGCTGGGGAAGCTGCAGTGATGGACCACCGTGGGGTGTGAGGGTCTCTGTGGGGGTCGGAAACTAGTACGGCAAAGTGGTGTGGTGACAAAAGAAAGGGGCCTGGTGACCAGCTGGCTTCTGGGTAAAAGGCTAAGAATCCGGAAACTGGGACTCTAGTGCTTCCAGTTTGGGTGACTGGGGAAAAGGGGAAACCCGGCAGAAAGTCAGGAAATGGGGCTGGGCTGGGCCCACTATGGTGAGTCTGGTTTCCAGGTGGGAGTTATCAGTGAGTAGATGGACTCAGAACTAAAGCTTTTATTTTTGTGTTTCAGGGCCCATTTTAAACAATTTACAGGCATTAAATTATTTAATCCTAACGACTCCCCCTGCACTGGGTGCTATTGTCATTCCCATTTTACAAGTTACCCTTTTGAAAGGATGAAGCACAGAGACACTAAGTGACTTGCCCAAGGTCGCACAGCACAAATATATCTGTATAGTCTACGGCCATGCCACCCTGAACAAGCCCCATCCCATCTGATCTCGGAAGCTAAGCAGGGTCGGGCCTGGTTAGTACTTGGATGGGAGACCACCTAGGGAGACCAGGTGCTGTAGGCGTAAAAAATAAATAAATAAATATATCCATATAGAGTATAGACACGGAATGCTACGAAAACTATCATCCGTGTGGTTCAGGTCCAGAGCAGAGTCCCATTTAAATAGGTGCTGTACAGTCAGGCAAAACAAATCATTGAAAGAATCCCATATTTTTTCCTAAGTTTCTCTGAAAATATGAGAAGGGACCCGAAGGCCAGCTCCCACTGCTTTTCTCATACAGCCTTTCTGTCTTCCTCATGTCCCTCCC